CTAAGATGAAAACAGAATTAGATTTAAATAAAAAATGGGAAGTGATCTTGGAAATTCAATAATACGTAACTCAGATAAAAATATTTATGTCTTTGACACAATAACTTAACTCTGAAATGCATACTAAAGAAAGTCAGAGGTATACTTAAATATATTACTGTGAGGATATGCATTATAATGTTACATACACAAAAAGATTAGAAAGAAACATACAAAATCTAGATGAAACAAGAGATTGGTTAAATAAATTATGATATAGTTGTATTAAAAATAAGTAAGAGATATGAACATCACTTTTCTCTTAGAATGTTTGAGCATATTGAGAAAAGCTTACAAAATATTCAATGAAAAATCAAGTTTAAAAGATTGGGCATCATGTCAACAAATACATTGAAAATGGAAGGGTATGTATTCAAATGTTGAGTAGTTTTGTTCCTTAATTTTTTACAATAAATATGTAATGCTTTTATAATGAAAAAAACTCAACAAAAATACATAATATTTTTAGTATTTGCTGGGTGCTCATTTAATGTGTTCAATTAATGAATTATTATATTTTTTTTAAAAAAGATGGCCGGGCGCGGTGGCTCACGTCTGTAATCCTAGCTCTCTGGGAGGCCGAGGCGGGCGGATTGCTCGAGGTCAGGAGTTCGAAACCAGCCTGAGCAAGAGCGAGACCCCGTCTCTACTATAAATAGAAAGAAATTAATTGGCCAACTAATATATATAGAAAAAATTAGCCGGGCATGATGGCACATGCCTGTAGTCCCAGCTACTTGGGAGGCTGAGGCAGAAGGATTGTTTGAGCCCAGGAGTTTGAGGTTGCTGTGAGCTAGGCTGACACCACGGCACTCACTCTAGCCTGGACAACAAAGTGAGACTCTGTCTCAAAAAAAAAAAGAGTTTTTCTAATGAAGAAGTGTTTCAAGGTTTTGAGGGAATGACAGTTGTCTTCAATGCCTGAAAAGAAGCACATATAGAATGCAAAATCCATAAAAGCAGAGAATGTGCCTTATTTCTTATTTTATCCTCAGCACTAATGGCACACATGAGACAATCAGTCAGCATTTATTAAATAATGAATAAACAAATGAATGAAAAATGTACAAAAGGCAGATTTGGGCTGAAGTATAGGATGAACTTCATAAAAGGAGAATTGTTAAAAAATGAAATGTCACGCCTGTAATCCTAGCACTCTGGGAGGCCGAGGCAGGCGGATTGCTCGAGGTTGGGAGTTCGAAACCATCCTGAGCGAGACCCCGTCTCTACTAAAAATAGAAAGAAATTAATTGACCAACTAAAAATATATATACAAAAAATTAGCCGGGCATGGTGGCGCATGCCTGTAGTCCCAGCTACTTGGGAGGCTGAGACAGCAGGATTGCTTGAGCCAGGAGTTTGAGGTTGCTGTGAGCTAGGCTGACGCCACGGCACTCACTCTAGCCTGGGCAACAAAGTGAGACACTGTCTCAAAAAAAAAAAAATAGAAGTTGTGACTCTAACTTCACTAAAACTGGATGCAGACTCAGGGGTGAACTATCTTATGGAGTGTTCAGACTCTCTGATAAGTATAGGAGGTTAGTGCTGGTCCAGTGCTGGCACCAGGAAAGAAGAAAAAGAAAGAAACCTGGTACCTGCATTAGAAGCAGTCATAAGTAAATATAATAAAAACAGAAGAATTTTTACTTTACCTCTTGAAACATGAAATTTGTTACAGAGCCTTTGCACTTAGTAGAAAATCTGAGATTTAGAAGTTGAAAATATACCATTAAAATTACAAGGAAAAGTAATTTTTACTTCTTTGAAACATGGGAACAAAAAATAACGATCATAAAGTGCTTTGAAAATGTAACTGCATTGTATAATATCAGCCTTGGTGTTAACCTTTGGTAGGGTTCCCAACAAATCAATTAATTCTCGATCATTCTGGCAGCACTGCCAGTATCATTAGTGCTGGAATCCATAAGCAGCCACTGAGGACCTGCCCATGTTTACTGCCTGGAAGAATTAGTTTTCAGTGTGTGGAATGGAGCTGGCCCTGACTGCACATTATAGAACAAATAATTATTCATCAAAACTTATCTTGCTGCAAGCAATTCATTCCTCTCTCCACAGATGTCCCCAACTTTGACCCAGAGCAGCATGAATGAGGGCTAAAAATAGCAGCTCCACAATGCAGCAGGCAGCCATGGTGAGACTGCATTTAAGTGGTTTTCATACTCATGACGGCAGAGCACTTTGCTCACACAAATTCGCCGTTGAATACTGTAGTATCCTCTCTTCTGTCTTCATCCTTTGAGATATAAAGTCTGTTTCTTGTTGGGAATGAGCTAGGCTTTGTCTAGTGGAAAATTCTTTCATTCTCTCTGTTTTATGCATTTACCATTTCTCGTTTCTTTGTTTTCTTTCCTTCTGCAGCTGGAGTGGGAGAGTGAGAGTCTCAGTTCTACCACAGTCACTCCGCTTTCTGATCACACCACATGCTCAAAAGAATATATTCATTAACACCAGCTACTTGCAAGTATGTGCTAGGCTCTGTGGAGGATAAACATATTACACAAATCCTTATCACATTAGCCTCAGAGAAATCAAGTACTTAAGTAACAAGGAGAGATGCATTTGAGCCAATCCTCAATTCCGCTAAGTGATTCTGTTGTCCTTCATCTCTTCACCCTGTTCTTGGTCTCAGTTATCCTCTAATGTGAAGGTGATTGGAATCCTGACTTAAGAACTCCATCTGCATCATCCAAGTAAAATCCACTTAATGTCTTCTACCATCTTTACATGCTGACACATCTTAGTCTTGTTGATCCAGGGTGCTGACCATCTTGGCTCCAGATATACACTTCACGGTTACTCCAAACCATTAGCATGGTTTCCCTCATGCTAATTAGACCCCTGGACATCCTGGAGTTCCTATGATGCTTAGCCTAATTAAGCTCAACTCTAACCCTCAAAAAGAAGAATGATGGATGGATGTGGTCTCTGCCCCCAAGAAATTTATGATTTAACCATGCATGCTAATGGTGGTGGTTATAAATATAGCATCTCATGTAATCTATTGCCAGATTTTTCCTAGATTGATAAATAGGATAATAGATCCTAAATTACAGTCTATCTTAACCATATTAATAGTTAACTATTTAAAGTTCACTTTGTAGCAGGCACTGTCCTAAATACACAGATTTGGTCATTTTATCCCCACAACAATCATATCTTTATCATCTCCTTGTGAGAGATAAACTTAGCACTCAAAGTCACACAGGAAAAAAAAAAGTAGCATTCAAACCCAGATGGTCTAATTTGAGAACACACATTTTAACTATAATAGCAAACGATCACAGTTGGTATCAAATTTCTGGAACTGCAATGCATATTCCTTGGGATATTTGTCCATTAAATGCTGTTCGAAAAGGAGGTTCTGTGAATATATAAGTTTGGGAAACATTGCATGTGCCTTGTCTGGAATTCATGGCACATTTTAACATATTAAAATCTCATATATAATACTGCAGGAAAGAAAGCAGTTTAAATTTAGCAGAAATTTTCCAAACATTTTTGCCCATGGAACACTTTTCACCACATAGTTCCTTAACTTGCCTCTGAAGAAGATTTCTGAAAAACCCACTTTTAAAAACAATGTCTGAGGGGAAAGAAACATTTAAAAACATGATATTTCTGAAAAAGACTTCCAGTTATAAATGAGATAAAGGTCTCTATAAAGTCAGGAATTTGCGGGAAGTTTCTGTGTTATATTGCAGTAAAGCATGATTAAATATTAGCTGGCTGTGCTTTTTATTTTTCTTTACTAGTGTTCCCATCTGTAATTTGTTTTTTCCAAAAAGCTACTTGGTATGTTTCCTGTTGGTCTTGCCTATACTGAGAAGGTAAAACTTTCTTTATATATTTATTTTAATGTAAATTGTTTAAAGAAGAACAGCATGCATTTAGAAAAGTACATATATCATGTATCAGCTAAACTAATTCAGAAAGTGAACACATATGCAGCCAGCATCCAATTAAGAAGCATAGTATTACTACAACACCATGAGCCTCTCCTCTCAGTAACTACCCATGCTCACCAATGGTAGCCACTACCTTGACTTCTATGTCACTACCTTGACAAATTCAGAGATTTGTTTTTAATTCTTTTTTTTTTTTTTTTTTTTTTTTGAGACAGAGTCTCACTTTGTTGCCCAGGCTAGAGTGAGTGCCGTGGCATCAGCCTAGTTCAGTAACCTCAATCACCCGGGCTCAAGTGATCCTACTGCCTCAGCCTCCCAAGTAGCTGGGACTACAGGCATATGCCACTATGCCCGGCTAATTTTTTGTATATGTATTTTTAGTTGGTCAGTTAATTTCTTTCTGTTTTTATTAGACACGGGGTCTTGCTCAGGCTGGTTTAGAACTCCTGATCTCGAGCAATCCGCCCGCCTAGGCCTCCCAGAATGCTAGGATTACAGGCATGAGCCACCGTGCCCGGCCTTTAATTCATTTTTTAAAAGCAGTTTTATTGAAGTATGATTGACTACCATCTAACCGCACATATTTAAAGTGTACTTTTTGGTGAGTTTTGAAAAATGTATCACACACAATCAAGATAATGAACATATCCACCACCCCTCAGATTTTCTTTCTGACCTTGGTAATCCTCCATCCCCAGGTAACAACTAGTCTGCTTTCTGTCACTACAGATAAGTGATGTTTTCTAGAATTTTATATAAATAGAATCATACATATGTGTCCTATTTTTTTGAGTAGGGTCTGGCTTATTTCAACCAGCATAATTATTTTAAGATTCTTTTTTTCTTTGCATTACTAGTTTGTTCCTTTTTATTGTTGAGTAGTATTCCATTGTACAGATATACCACAGTTTGTTTATCTTTTCAGCTGTTGATGGACATTTGTGTTGTTCTCAGTTTTGGGCCATTACATATAAAGCGTCCATGAGCATTTATGTGCAAGGTTTTGTACAGACATGTGATTTCATTTCTCTCTAGCCAGCCATACCACGAAGGAGCGAGACCAATTTACATTCTCACCAATAGCATACAGTGTTCCAGTTGTTCCATATCCTCACCAGCAGTTTAAATGGTTAGTGTTTTTCATTTTAGCCACTCTGGTTTGCATGCAGTGGTGTTGTATTGAGATTTAATTTGCATTTCCTGAAGGGCGTCTTTTCACATGCTTGTTTGCCATCTGTATATCTTCTTTTCTTTTATAGTATAATTGCACTTATTTGAAGTTCAAAAACATGCAAATCAAAGGAATATCTTATTTCTCAGTATATTCATATTGGAGGAACCGTAAAGAGAAATAATGGAAGTAATAAAGAGGATGGAATTGGACAGGGACCGATAGAAGCCTTCAAAGATTTAGGTAAATGTTCTTTCTTAGGCAGAGTCATTGTATAATATATGGGTGTTCATTTATTATTTCTTATGTCTTCTGCATAACTTACATACATTATTTTGCAAGTTTTAAAAGATAAAGCAAAATAATATGACAGCGCACAATTAGAAAAAGGAATATATAATAGCAATGTATATCTTCTTTGGTAACATATCTTTTCAAATATTTTGTCCTTTTTGTTTTTTATTTTTATTGAGACTTGGATGTTCTTTTTCTATTTTGGATACAGACTTTTAGTTTTATATCAATCGTGCAGATATTTTCTGTATGGCTTGCCATTCCTTTCTGTAAAGGTGCCTTTTGAAGAGAAAATGTTTTTACTTTTGATGAAGCCTCACTTAGGTTCTCTCTTTCTTTTAATAGATCATAACTTTTAGATTGTATTAGGAAATTTCTGGCAAACTTATGGGAACTGAGATATTTTATATCTTCTTTGAGAAGTTTTATGGTCCTAACTTTTGGATTAAGTCTATAATAAAATTTTGGTTAATTTTTGCCTATGATAAGGTGGGATCAAAGCTTTTGGTTTGTTTCTTTGTTTTTTGTTTATTTTTTGTACAGCTATCCACTTGTACTACCACCATTTGTTAGAAAGCCTTCTTTCCCTCATTAAAATACATTTCCCCTAATACAACATTGTCTTAATTACTGTAGTTTTACCATAATCCTTGAAAGGAGGTAGTATACATATTTCAACTTTATTCTTTTATAAAGTTGTCTTGACTGAGGATCTTTCAATTTACAAATAAATTTTAGTATCAGGTTGTCAATTTCTACAGAAATGCTCGCTGGGATTTTGATTGGCACTGTGTTGAATTTATAGACAATTTGGGGAAGAATATACACCTTAAATATATTGTGTCTTCTGATTTATGTACTCCATATGTCCCTCCATTTCTTTAATTTGTTTTGATATATTACAACAACTTGTCTTGTTTTCAGTACATAGGTTTTATACATTTTTATTTTTTATTATTTTTTTATTTCAAAATATTAAAGGGGTCCAAATGTTTTTGTTACATGTATACCTCATGTAATGCGTAAATTGAGAGGCTTTTAGAGTGCCCGCCACCAGAATAGTGTCTGTTGTAACTGATAGGTAAGAGTTTACCCCTCACTTCCCTCCCACCCTCCACCCTTCTTGGTTTCCAAAGTTCTTTATGTCTCTTTGTGTCTATATGTGCCCATAGTTTAGCTCCCAATTATTAGTGAGTACATACGGTGCTTGTTTTTCCATTCCTGCGATACTTCACTTAGGATAATGGTCTCCAGTTTCATCCATATTGCTACAAAAGACAATATTTCATTCCTTTCTATTAATCAAATATATCCCAAAACATTTTATATTTTTGATGCTATTGTAAATGGTATTTTGAAATTTCAAGTTCTTATTGTTCATTACTAGTAAAGCATAAATAAATTTTGCCTCTTTGAAAAAGTATATTTTTTTCCAAAACATTAGAAAACTGGCTACCAGTATCTGAACAGTAATTTATAGTATTACAGTATTTCTAAAATATATGTTGCAAAAGAAACATACAAAAACAACCCCACTGTCTCTGACACAATCTGTGAATCCCTTAGATTTACTCATTTATATTTTAACCTATTTATTCTTTTCCATTAACATTTAGAGTAAAAGAGAAGTTTTAAATGTTCTTAAATGGCCCTTAGGTAACTTAAGCTCAGGGACGCAGAGAATTTCTATGAAAAGAAAGAAAGTTTCAAGACACAGACTCATGCTTTGGCTTTGCACCTAAGTTTGCTATTGGCTCAAACCATGCTGTTAAAACCATGAGTTATAGAATGAGTCCACTGATTGATGCACAACCTTACCAATTGGCATTGATAAACATCTTAGTAAAATCTTAATATTTTCACCTATTCTAGAGTCCTACTAAAAATATTTAACAATATTGGGCCAGTGTATACTTTCTCAAACCTTCCTCCCTCCAACACAAGTACACATACATATGCTGACACCCCCCCACACACACACACACACAAACATACACATACACCGGAGAAAAGGCATATGAGCATACAGTGAGAAAGTGGCTGGCTGTCTGCAAATGAGGAGGAAAGAAAGCCCTTACCAGAATAGGTTTTGCTGGTTGATCTTGGACTTTTAGCCCCTAGAACCACGAGAAAATAAATTTCTACCTACCAGTCTATGGTATTTTTTTATGGTAGCCCGAGCAGACTAATGAGCAAACAGTATCTAATCACATTTCCTATAGCTTACTTTGGTATATAGTTTCTTAATTTGCTGTATATAGTGAATTTGCTGATTATTGTGGAAGATTTAGGAATCACTTACAGGGAGCTCATTCTGATGATCCCTGTGTTTTACTGTTGATTTACTGCCGGGTGTATTAATATTACTACCACAGGACCGTCAAGCTACAACTTATCAGACAGTTTATTAAACAGCATTTTTTCCCAGAGTGTAAAAATATGTAGCTCCTCTTAAGATGAAGTATTATTTGCAAAGGAATTATTTGGTGATGAATGGCTAATAGTTTTTGGTTTATGAAGAACTGAGTAAAAGAAGAAAAACTCTTTTTTTTTTTTTTTTTTTTGAGACAGAGTCTCACTTTGTTGCCCAGGCTAGAGTGAGTGCCGTGGCGTCAGCCTAGCTCACAGCAACCTCAAACTCCTGGGCTCAAGCAATCCTTCTGCCTCAGCCTCCCAAGTAGCTGGGACTACAGGCATGCGCCACCACGCCCGGCTAATTTTTTATATATATATATTAGTTGGCCAGTTAATTTCTTTCTATTTATAGTAGAGACGGGGTCTTGCTCTTGCTCGAGCAATCCGCCCGCCTCGGCCTCCCAGAGTGCTAGGATTACAGGCTTGAGCCACCGCGCCCGGCCAGAAGAAAAACTCTTTAAATAAATGATTAATTTATTTTGTTGAATGTTCAGGTATCTGAATTACTAGTAGCCCTTTTTCAGATGTTTCTAATATTTTTCTGTTTCTCTATTTCCCAATACATTTAGAATCACAGATAGTTTATATGGAAAAGGTAAACAGTAAAGATCAATCTCATCGAAATCCTTTAGAGTTTTAAAAAATTTAGTTTCTTAATCTGTCTAATATAAAATTCCTGGGTAATTTGTTCATCTTGTATTTTGAGAGTCTAATGATGCTGATGCATTTGCTTCCATTCATTAGTGAGAAATTACCACATTACACTGTTTACCTGGTATCAGATACCAAACAATGCCTTCTAAATATTACCAGGCTCTCATTTGCCTAGAATCTGAGAACTTGGATAATCTTCTTAGGAACCAGGCTGATCAGGAACCCAAGCTGGAATGTGATTTTGTAAAGAAGAAGGTTTTATTATTAGGAAAAATCAATCTATAAATGTTTGAAGTCAGTGGAAAGTCTAAATTAATTTGTTTTCATTATTTAAATAGTATTAGCCCATTGTAGAAAATTGATATAAAAGAAAACTCTCTCAAAATCCTAAAGATTCTAATAAAAACAATCACATTTTGATTTTATTCCTCCCAGAATCTTCAATGTACGTATTCTGCACACACCATTGTAAATGGATTAATGATGAATTAATGCAAGTTTCATTAAGAAGACAAGATTATGCAGAACAACTCTTTTGTTCCCTGTACTATGCTTCTCACTATAAACACTCAGACAAATAAGGTAAACCAGAAGCTTCATTATTTAGGATTGTACTATGTGAGTTATAAACTTAAGAAATGCCTTTGATCAGACTAAAGTTCTTTAAAAACATTTTTTAGACAATAATATTTTAAATAGTTCTTTGGGAAAAATAATTTTTTCCCTCAAATCCAACATGCCCCCTACCTGCCCTTTGCTTATTGACAATGTGCCAAATTAGACTGCAGCTACAGGAAAATGAATACCCAGATAAGAAGTGGAATATTTAGGTGATTGTGAAGTTCTCCCCAAATCTCCAGATGTTTGGCATTCTGTAAAGAAAGTATCACATGACTGCATTTTCCACTTTACATCTGGATGTTTTGCTACTACAGACATATTTCTCTTGGCTGTTTGTATGAAACATTCATTTCTTGTCATGATGCTTTAGAATGCAAAAAATTTTAAAATGACAGCAATGGAACTAATTATATACCTTCCACATATAAGTTAAGTCAAAGCTAAAGTGATTGTTTGAAAATAAATATTTAAAGAGATTTATAAGTATACAGTTAGTATACTTTTGTCCTTTTATATCTATGCAAAATATGTATAATGTTAGTTTATGCTTAGATTGACAATGGAAAAATGATGAAACAATCAAAGTTTTTTTTTTTAATTTTGAAAAGTTTTAAAAATAATTTCAAAACTCCTTATGGAATTTTTCATAACTGCATACTTTGACCTGAAAAGGGATGCAAACACCATGAAATCTAGCTCAAATGTCACAAAATCAAATACATTGAATCACCAGCATAGATAGGAACTATTAATATTAATAAGTTAAATGGGGTGAGTGATAGACAGTAGGAACTACTTGGGACAGTCTGGGAGTAGACTAAATTTCCCACCAAAAGGAATGCAAACATTTTTTTTTAGAGGGGGAGTGTGAATGCTCACACTTGTAATCTCAACATTTTGGGAAGTTAAGGCGGGAAGATCATTTGAGGGCAGGAGTTCAAGACTAGCCTGGGCAACATAGTGAGACCTCATCTCTACACAAAAGAAAAAAAAATAGCTGGGTGTGGTGGTCCTCATCTGTAGTCCTAGCTGTAAGCTACTGCACTCCAGCCTGGGTGACAGAGCAAGACCCTGTCTCAAAGAAAAACCAAAACAAAACAAAACAAAAACACAACAACAAAAAAGCAAAAAAGGGGGGGGCATAGGGGGTTGGTTTGGTCAAGGATATAAAATTTCAGTTAGATAGGAGAAATAAATTCAAAAGATCTAGTGTACAACAATGGTGACTATAGGTAATATATCGTATTCTTGAAAAATGCTAAAGTAGATGTATAGTTTTCTTACCACAAAAATAACTATGTAAAATAATGTATATGGTAATTACCTAGATTTAATCATTCTACACTGTATATATACTTCCAAATGTTATGTTGTACATGGTAAAATACTTACAATTTTATCTGCCAATTTTTAAAAATAAATAATAATTCAAACATTTTTTAAAAGCATAAATGAGAGTCTAAGAAAACATGTGTGAACTGAATTTTGCTTAAGAAGGCTGCAGTTTCAAACCTTTGATTTTAGTCTAATTCTTATCTTTTATGGAAAAGGAGGCTGAAGTCTAGTTTCTAAAACTAGAGAGCAGCCTACAGAAAATTAAAACCCAGTTATCCTGATCCCTGGTCTAGTACTTTGTGCACTCTCATCACTTTTCTTCATGCTATTTTTAGTATATACATGCATTCACTAGCAGATTCTTTCACAGAATTATTAGTTTGCCAGTGCCTTCAAGCGATGTAGACATAATTCCAGAGAGTCTAGCTTTAAACATAATTACCATGTTACCTTTGTGGAACACACTTATTTCAATTATGGGCTTTGGAGTTTGAATCAGTTCAAGCACCAACTCCATCCTCTAAAAACTGTGTAACAATAGGAAAACGAGCCACTTGACCTCTACAAACCTTAGGGTGCTCATTTGTAATATAGGAAAACTAAGAGCACTTCTTCAGAGGGTTGATGTGAGAAATAAATGAGATGATGGCCACGAGTTATTTAGCTCAAAGTGGGAAGAATGCTAAATGTGTCATAAATATTGCTTATTATGGTTACATTATAGAAACCTTCAATACAGAATTGTTGTTTTGGGAATTAATTACTATCTGCACATTTATTGCTTAACATAGCCAATCTTCTCTACTTATTCAGATTTTGGAAAGAGATACATTCACTCATGCCATTACTTAACAAGTGTTCATTTACCTTTAATATGGGCCAGGTGTTTTTCTAGGCACTGGGTTTATAATGTAAGAAGTCCATGCCATCATGGGGTGTGAAGTTTAGTGGAAGAAATAGAAATGATTCAGCACCTTCATTCCAGGTCAGGGGTGCAATAATCACATTATCTCTTTGGTGGGAATAGCTTAGCATATTCAAAGACTTAAAAGAATCCCAGGGATGCTATAGCTGAGAACGAAGGGTGATGAATCGTCAAAGATGTGGTCCAAAAGGACATCAGGGGCTAGATTATATAGAGCTACTGGGTCATAACAAAAAATTTATACGTTTTTCAAAATGTGACAAGAAGGTAGTAGAAGGTTTTGAATAGGAAAATGTCTTAATCTGAGTAATATTTTTGAGACATTCACTCTGACAACTGAGCAGCAGATTGCAAGGCGCAGAAAAGAAAGCAAGGAGAACCATGAGGAACATATTGCAGAAGTTGAGGCAAGCGGTGATGACACACTGTACTAGTGGCAGAGATAGGGAGACACAATACAAGTCACGGTATATTTTGAAGGCAGTGCCAATACGATTTGCTGATAGATTGGAAGAATGCAAGCAAAAGCAAGGAATCAAAGATTCATCTAGTAAGTGATAAGGACGCATTAATTTGAGGAAGATTAGGGAGCTAAAAGGGAAAATCAAGAATTCTGCCTTGGCCATGTTAGCTTGAAGTGCTTATTTGGCACCCAAGGGAAACTCAAGGGAAATTAAAGGGAAATTGAGTGGGCAGAGTTCACGGGAAGAATGAGACTTCAGCTTTTCTGCAGCAGCATCAGCATATAGGACTGATGAGATCACCTAAGGAATGAATACAGAGAGAGTAGAGTAAGGCTGAGAGCTGAGCCCTGGCACATTCCAAAATTATGAGATTCAGAAGAGAAGCTTAAGAAAGATATTCTATTTTTTTTTACACTCAAGCAAAATGAAACATTGTGTAATTGCTTAAATTTTTGCTTCTTCTTAATTTATCTGTATTTCATAATAATCAGAACTTCTAATTCTGTAGTTTGATTTTTTTGTGTGTGTGTGGTCATTATTTACCTATGGCCTGTAAACTGTGAAATAGGAATCCGGTGAAACCAGTTTTAAGCCAAGTATTCTCCAGTGTACATGGAATTGACTGGTGAAAGTAGGCAGAACAATCATTCTCTGGCCTCCCTATTTTATGCCCAGAGATTACTGAGTAGGAATCATCGTAATTACTTTACAATCATTATTATGAAACACAATACAAAATGAAACCTACTTAGAGGGATAATTTAAATCATAGGCCTTATATGACATTTTTCAATGAAATGAAGATTGCCCATGAGAAGGTAAATGTATTCAGTAGCAGAGTGAAAATAAATATTAATGTTAATAGCTATTTCCAGTGGAAACATTCTTTCTTTAGGAAAATATGCAGTTAAATTACATGGAGGGGAAAATGAGACCGTGAGAAGAAGATTGAAGGAAGTCCAAGAAACAGAAGATATAGTAAAGCCATTTCTCATTAGAAATACACAGACAGGGATCATAAAGTCAAAAGAAAAAGAGGGAATGACACTGAAGTTGCTTAAGAAATTTGGAAACAGCTATGTTCAATGATTGTTAAGTTACTATTGCTGCAGTAATTTAAACTCTGTTTAATTAAAACTCCAAATCTTCATCACGGTATACTATACACACAATGCATTCTGTTAAGGGCATGCATATGTTTGTGTCTGTGTGTCTGAATGTGTTTCAAAATTTCTTTTTAATCCTAACTCTTTTAAAACAAAGTAAAGTTTTGAAATTAACTTTAGGGCAGATAATGACAAATTCAAAAGTTAGCATGGAGAAGGACTGTCCTTTATGACAAAAGCTCCATAAATTAGGTGTAGAATGAACTACCTCAACATAATAAAGCCCACATATGACAAACCCACAGCTAATATTATACTGAAAGGGGAAAAGTTGAAAGCTTTTCTTCTAGCACCTGGAACAAGACAAGGATGCCCACTTTCACTAGTTTTATTCAGCATAGTACTGTAAGTCCTACCCAGAACAATCAGGCAAGAGAAAGAAATAAAAGACATCAAAATTGGAAAGGAGGAAGTCAAATTGTCTCTGTTTGCAGATGACAGGATCTTAACGCAGAAAACCCTGAAAGCTCCATCAAAAAACTCTTAGAACTAATAAAAAAATTCAATAAAGTTGCAGTATACAAAATCAACATACAAAAATCACCAGTGTTTCTATACATCAAAAAAGAACTAGAGGACGAAGAAATCAAGAAAGCAATAACATTTATTATACAATAGTTATAAAAATACCTTTGAATAAATTTAACCAAGGAAGTGAAAGATCTCTATAAAGGAAATCATAAAACACTGATAAAAGACATTGAAAGAGACACAAAAATGGAAAAACATTTCATGTTCATGGATTGAAAGAATCAATATTTTGAAAAATCCCCACACTACCAAAAGAAGTGATCTACAGATTCCATTCAATTCCTATCCAAATGAATTTTTCACAGAAAGAGAAAAACAAATCCTAAAATTCACATGGAAACACAAAAAAGCTCTGAATAGCAAAAACAATCCTGAGCAAAACGAACAAAACTGGAGGCATCACACTACCTGGCTTTAAAATTTACTGAAAAGCTATGGTAACCTTAATAGTATGGTACTGGCATAAAATCAGGCACACAGACTGATGGAACAGAATAAAGAACCCAGAAATAACTTCACGTATTTACAGCCAACTGATTGTCAACAAAGGCACCAAAAACAGTCTTGGGGAAAGGGCAGTCTTTTCAATAGATGGTGCTGGGAAAACAGGATATCCATATACAGAAAAACAAAACTAGACCCCTGTCTCTCGCTATGTACAAAACTCACCTCAAAATGGATTAAACACTTAAATGTAAGACACAAAACTGCGAAATGTCTAGAAGAAAACATAGGGAAAACACTTGAGGACATTGGTCTGGGCATTTTTTGACAAAGACCTCAAAATGTCTAGAAGAAAACATAGGGAAAACACTTGAGGACATTGGTCTGGGCATTTTTTGACAAAGACCTCAAAAACATACACAACAAAACCAAAAATGGACCAATAAGACAAAAGTCATGTTGGTGAGGATTTAATTAGCTAGAAATTGTGCATTGGAAATTCGAACCAATCTTGAATAAAAGCTTAATGATAAAAATGTAATATGTGTGTGCATAATACATATATATATATATATATATATATATATATATTAGGTCATTAAATATGGACTGTCTGATTTCAATTCGAGCATTTAGTTTATTATATTTCAAACAAGAAGCAGTACAATTAATCAAAGTATGTGCCTACACTATCGACACAGTTTTAGCATCTTAAGGGTGACTTGCTTATGCCAGCAATGAAGAAGCCTGGAGAGTGAGTGCAGATGAAATGGCCAAAGGTGTTTTCCACAGCTTGTTGAGAATTGAATGTTTTTCCTTGTCAGAAGTGGTCCAAAGCCTGGAAGATGTGGTAGTCAGTTGGTGCAAGGTCTGGTGAATATGGTGGATGACAGAGAGTTTCCAAGTTCAGCTTCTGTACTTTGAGGAGTATTATTTTTTGTAACGTGGTCTTGCAAGAGGATCGCCCTGTTTCTGTTGACCGATCTCAGCTGCTTAATTGTAAGCATCTTCATAATTTTGTCCAACCCGCTATAATTGGTTTACCAGGTTTTGTGAAGCTGTGATGGATAGTACCAGCACTGGACCACCAAACAGAGACCATTAGCTTTTTTTGATGAATATTTGGTTTTGGACTCTGTTTCAGCACTTTATCTAGCCATTGTGCCGAATGCTTGCAATTGTCAGGAAGAATCCATTTTTCATCACATATTAATAATACAATGCAGAAATGCTTCACATTTATGTTGTGACAGCAAAGAAAGGCAAGCTTTGAGGTCATTTCTCTTCTGAAGCTTGTTTAATTCATGTGGTACCCATCTATTCAGCTTCTTTACTATCCAGCTTTCTTTACCTTGTCAATTGTTTCAAATGATCCAATATTGTTGGAATAGTAGTGTCAAACCTTGCTTCTAATTCACATGTAGGTTGATATGGATTCACTTTCATTACAGTTTTCAACTTATCATTATCCTCCTTGGTCTCAGGTCACACACATGGCTCATTCTCAAGATTAAAATCACCAGAATGAAACTTCTCAAGTCATCAATGTACTGTGTGTTCATTAGCCACGTCCTTCCCAAACACTTCGTTGATATTTCGAGCTGTCCGTGCTGCATTTGTTCCATTTGAATTCATATTCAAAAATAACTCGAATTTTATCCATGGTTTCACAAAAATTGCTCTAAAAAAAATTGAAAGACAATCACAAGCCAAGCATGCATTTGAAAGAATGAGGATGTACCTTCACAACAAAAAATAAAACAAGAAGTGTCAAAGTAAAGTGTCAGAGATATCAACTGTCAAACTTAGTACTTAAGGAAATTGGACATTTCTTACTTAATAACTATATATTATATTATAGTTATATATTAAATATATTACATATAATTATATTATTATATATTATGTATATAATTATTATATTATATGATTATATATTATATAATTATTATATGTATAATTATATATTATATAAATAATTAAATATAATATATTTTGTTTTGACCCAGTTTTGAGGCCCTGGCTAAAGGTTGGTCAGCCCCCTTCTTGAGAAGGTGATTAAGTCCCCAAGAATTTCCCTAGTGAGTTCTCACACTACAGCCAATGTACACTTGCCCTAATCACCATTGGGTCATGTATCAGAGAACGCAGGATAACCCTTTTGTCCTGGAGCCCACAAAATTATTCAAACTAGCCAATCCACAGGGAGCTTTAGAAACCTAGCTTCACCCCATGCTACTTGCCATACATTAGTTCCCTGTATACCTCCCACTTGCTGTTACCCTGTACTCCAGGGCAACCCTCTGTGTGGTCCCCTGCTTGGTCACCATTCCTCCTTTGGAGCTTTAAGTAACAAAGAGTTCTGGCTTTCATCTATCTGAGTGTCAGTGTGGTGTGTCCCATCATCAAGACTCTTTAAATCTTATAAAACACAAAGAGATTCCAACTTGATATGAGAAATTCACTTCAAAAGTTTAAAGTGTGTATGTATGTGTGCATATGCATCTATATTCTCTACTACATGGAAGACATTGATATGGTAACCTTAAATATTAATAACACATCTTTCAACTAGCTGCATAAGAATCATGCCAAGGGGATAATTAGAAATGCAGATTCTCATGTTGCATTCTAGGTCAACTGAATCAGAATCTCCAGAGGATACGAAGTAGGTATTACGTTTTTCAGGTGATTCCAATGAACATGCTGAAATGGAAGATGTATAAATTACTGATATGAAAGACATACAAAAAATACTGTCTCGACCTCAAGATGTTAATTCTAGGCTGAAATTCTGGATCTGCTACTTATTACTATATTACAAGGAGTGAGTTATACGTTCTTTGAGACGCAATATTGTTGTCTGTAAAATGAGAATAATAACTTGCTGGATTGGTGTGATAATTAAATGAGGACTTGTCTAAAATTTTGTAGCATAATATCCAGTGATTGAAAACTAGCACCTATTATTGTCATTATTTAGAAAGAAGAAACTATATACTAGGAAAATATAATGTGTAACCAGGGCCAGGAGAAGCAGACATGAATTAAGTTTGAAAATGGGAGATAGAACTCATTAAATCCTTCAATATTGAAAGATTTGTGTGGCACAGACATGTCCAACAAATTTGCCCTACAAAAATAATTGCTATTATTGCCATATTTGATTCTAAAAGTTTAGTTTATGAATAAAAGGCTTTTGTGGTATACATATCCATTCATTCAGTTAGTAAGTGTTCACTGAAGACATACCTATATAATTCATACTTTACTCCAATGGTACCTTGGATGATCTGCTCAATGGCTTGCTTTTCAGTGACCATGTGAGAGTTGTTGGTGTTTGCCTAGATGGTTTTGATGCATCCACAACAAATCTTTTCTCTCACATGCTCTCATAATTTTTCTCTTCTTTGAAGTCTTTGTATTTTGATCATTAAAAAAGCACATCACAAAATTAAGGAGTGCCAAGTCTCACAGAAGAAGTAATTACTAAGCAAGTTTTAGGTAACTTGCTTAGTTTGGAAGCCATTAGAGCAATTGGTAATGAAAATGTTTCCAAATATGTACGTACTGGAATAATCTGTTACCCTGTGTTCCAGGACAACACTTTGTGTGGTCCTGCCTGGTCAGCATTCCTCCTGTGGAGTTTTAAGTGACAAAGAGTTCTGAACAAAGAGTTTTGGTTTTCATATATTTGAATGCCAGTATTTTGTGTCCCATAATCAGAACACTTTTTAAATCTTATGAAACACAAAGAGTCTCCCCCTTGATATCTGAAATTCACTTCAAAAGTTTTAAGAGTATATGTATGTGCACATTTTGTCTGGGGTTGTATGCAGGACTCTAAGTTTTCTGTACTCTTTCATTTAACTAAAAATGGCACAAAGGAAGGATTATATTTTCTACTAGATTTGTTTTTATTTTATTTTATTTTGGCATATTATGGGGGTACAAATTTTAAGGTTTTGAAAAATACCCTATTCCCACAATACTAGATTTGTTTTTAACAGTGACATTTATCTTGTCTTGATACTAAACACAATTTCCTCTTAGCATTAAAGCCACACTGAGGCAATTATATCCTGCTTAAAGTTGCCCACGTTGCTTTGAAACCACCATCACTGCCAGTACGCCTATATTTATACTGCCCTTTTACAAAACAAAAAGGAACGATGTGAATTTAAGATGTTCACTAAGATTATTATTCTTACTTTCTTCACTACTCAATGGATGATATTGAGCAAGTTATTAGCTTCTTGGAGCCCATTTATTCATTGCAGCAGTCCCCAACCTTTTTATTTGCATCAGTGACCAATTTTATGGAAGACAATTTTTCCCCAGACAGGATGGTGGGGGACTCAGGCAGTGACGTGTGCGGCCCTGGGGTTGGGGACCGCATATTTACAGAATTAGAAATGGCAGTAGCTGCCACATAGAAATGTCTTGATTACATCAAATAAAGTGATGTATATCAACACTAATTTATAAACTTTCAAACAATACAAATTCATTATTATTTTATTTTAAATGCATGCTGTTAGTATAAGACTCAGAGTGTTTGGCTAGGCTCTACTTCCTTACCTTTTTCATTGTTTTCTTTTAGACTCAAACTGATCTTCTGGCTCTAGTCTCACACCATGCACCTTATGGGTCACTGTCATTTCTTCACTGTATAGGGATTGAAATTATCAAAGGAAAAGTGGAGATTATACTCTCCAAATTCAGCTCCCTCTATATAAAACATAATGAAGAGCTGGGTTCTTTGCACACCTAACAATCAAAGGTGCCAAGAAGTTGGCAAGTGCTATTTTCTGTTATTCCGCTTGGATTTCTCCTAAGCCCAGAGTGGGTAGTCCAACCTTGAACCAGGAGATCTGCATTCTAATTTCAGCAATCATGGACGAAGCAATTTTATTCATGCTATTTAAATTTTCTCTGTCCTCAATTTCAGCAGATTTCAAGCAAAGATGTTCATCCTACTCCTGGCATGCCTCGCAGAGGCTCTATGAGAAAAGTTTCTCACAGAGACAGACTGCTGTGAAATTATTAAATCAGATTTATTTTCCCCTTGTGAGCACAGGTATTGCAGTTTAAAGCTAGGACTATTTGAACCTGAGAATATAATGTTGATATATAGAAAGCAATTATCTTTCCCTTACAATGAAACTTTCCCATGATCCTTTTATTATGAGTCTAAATAGAAACGAAGTATTCAGCAATTGTGAATGTTTCATTTTTCTGCTTTTTGTTTTTTGTAAGAAAAAGATTCTATTTTGAAAGTCTTTTCTTCTAAAGAAGCTTATCAGTTCACAAAAACTCTTTCTTAGGACAGATGTACCATTCAAACTTTAGTGAAAGGCTATTATAACCACATATATCTTCAGGCAAGTCATCTCATGTGTTTTTCATTATTACTAAGAAGATAAAAACTTGGAGGTAGGAAGTAGAATGGCATCATTACATCACTCTCAGTCAAAATGGCATATGTATTGCTATTCAATGAGAGATTCATAACTAGGCACTCTAAATATCCATTCAAATACAAACATTTATAGAGCCTTTCTTTGGTGCTAGGGATTTGAAAATGATTTAAACCTGGCTCCTGTCCTCTATCAGATAAGAATCAAAATAACTCCAGCCAATTATTACTTTATGTCCATAGACTCTAGACTGATGTACTTGCAGAGGAAGTAGCTTTTAACAATTTAATTAAGACCCTCACTTTAATGCTATTGTGAATAAATACCCAGAATGGAAAAGAAAGACTGAAGATTGCACATTCTTGGGAATCACAAAAATATCATCTCTGACTAAAGAGACTATAACAAACAATGGGTATTTTTGTTTACACAGGAAGCCCATTTAAAAAAAAACACCTCTAATTAACCATTTTATTAATGTGGTACAAGTTCCTGTTTTATAGACATTAATTCCCATTCAGTGTAAAATATAACACACAGACGCAGTGGATCAATATAATTCTGAAAAAAAAAATCCTTCAAAAGCAATAAAGCAGTAAGGTCAACAGATACATAAGATCAAAAATACAAAAAGGAAAGCACATTTCTTTCTTCTTGTTTTCCAAGAAGAAAACACCTCCTCTTTCCTGTTTTTATTGTGAAAGGTTTCTAAAGCGAATATGATTTCAATAAGACATTTAAGTGGTGAACAAATAGCAGTAAATGAGTACTTTGGGTAAAGTACGCACTTTGACTGTAATCACTTATTTTGTATTCATCTCCATTCTCTTGACATGATGGTGGAGAAATAAAGTATTATAAACGCACAAGGACAAAGTGAGAAAACTACATGGATAACAATATTTTGTCAAATGGAAAACTGAAGGACAGAAAGCTGAAAACTGCAGATGGAGAAGCCCAGTAGAAGCAAGATTCATTCTGCATAACTACAGGGAGGATCTCAAATTAGAGGCTTCAGATATTTCCGAAGTTGGAGATAAAGGATGGGTTTGAAAATAGAAAGATTTGTCAAAAGAACATATGGAATATATTAGGATGAGAGTACAAGGATATAATATTAATATAAATTCTTAAATTAGGATTAAATGGCATACATCACGACTGTCCTGGGCAATGAATGATGCATTACTTCTAGGTTGCAGTACCTGTCCAAATCTCTCTCCCATTTTTTATGGGATATGCCTTTCTACAATTTATTTGTAGGTGTTCTTTATTTACAGTGTTTTTAAAAAATATTAATTGTCATCTGATATGTGTTGCACATTTTTCTGTTTTATGACTTCCTTTTTAACTCTTAGTGTGGTTTTTAAAGATTAGAAATTCTGTCTTGTCAAATGTATTCATTTTTTTCCTTTCAGATTAACATTTTTTGGGCCTTCCTCAAGAAATGTTCCTCTAAATAAGATCTTGAAGATATTTGCTTATATTCTTTTCAAACACTATAAAATTTCCTATTTAAGTCTTTAATCCACCTGGAATTAATTTTGTGAATGGTGTGAGATAGGTTCTAAGCTATACATATATATATATATATATATATGTACATATATATATATTTCATTTTTTAATATCCATATCCTAAGACTACTTTTTGAAAAGGTTATGTTTTCCATATTGCTTATATAAATCAATTGCCCTCATATAAGCAATGGCTCTATTTCTGGCCTTTAAAATTGAATTCAATTTTATTTTTCCTAGGTCTTTTTGTCTACATACAAAAATAACATGCTGGATTTATTTTAATAGCTTTAAAGGATTATCTACTGAAGCATGTCTTCTCACATGATTCTTCTTTAAGAGAGAGTCATGGCTACAGTTGGCCCTTTGCATTAATATAATTTTTATAATTCACCAAGTTCCACAAATATTTCTGTTGGGATTTCTATAGGGATCAAGTCTATAAATCAATCTAAGGAGAACTGCCATTTTCTAATCATGAATTTTCCAATTATGAATTTGTGGCTTTTCCATTTATTTAGATTTTCTATAATTTATCAATATCTTAAATAAAGTTTTATAATTTTCTCCATTGGACTGCCAGTTTTCTTAAGATAATTTTTTATGCTACTGTAAATGTTATCTTTTCAAAATGTTATTTTATAAGTGCTTATTACTGGGAGATATTTGTATATTAATTGACTTTGTTTTTTTAATTTTTGAACCTAACAAACTAGCTAAATTTGTATAAAGCCTAATTATATACCTATAGATTCTTCTGTATTTTCTTTATATACATCATGTAACTCACAAATAATGACAGTTTGGATTTTCCTTTCCAATTCTTATATTTGTCATTACTGTTTTAGTGTATTATTTCTTCTGCCTAGCCCATTGAGGACACAGTGAGCATTGTGTCTTG